TGCCCTGCTCTACCCCTGGTACGAATATTCAGCAGTGTATTGGCATGTACCAGTGAGAGCTGTTGGGAGGCTGAGCCAGAGCAACTAGAAGGGTAGGGTGAGTCAGAGTCTGGGGAGTTCAGTCAGAGAGACAGAGAAGAGAGAAAAAGTTTTGGGGCTGGAGGCAGAGAGAGTGTTTAAGGAGTGATTAGTCAGAGTGTGACCTGTATTAATTAAGATAGAAGAGGTTAAAGTAAAATGCTGAGGCTTTTTATAACTTTAAGAATGTGCTTAAGAACTAGTCCTAGAACAACGTGTAATCAATAAACCTGTTTCTGTCTAAAAGTTCAGTACTGAATGGGCCTCAGTGGCAGCATGTTAAAGGGCATATTGGGATACTTTTGGGAGCTCCATGTTTGGTGAAAGAAGCAGGGGCCACAGGGTAAGCGTCACACAATAGAGGAAGTCAGTGGAGAATTGTTGATGCATTTCACATTCCTTTGACTCATTCATCTTAATTTTCACTGTTGTTGCAAGACGTTGCCTGGTTTTCTTTGCCCTTTACCTTGTGATTCATGGTGAGAAACACAATAATTGACAGATGACGGAAAGACCACACACCAGTCTGTAATGTCTTTTGACTTTATTGTTGCAGTATTTAATTTAGTATTACTTCTTTTCATCATATGTTTCATGGCTGACGAGCTTGTTGGTTATCAGACATTTACTGTTCATGGCTTTCAGCTTTGGAGGCGTAATTAACAACTCTGACTTGCCAGATATTCCTGCAGATGCTAAACGGAAAGCCATGTACATTGAAAGTAAAATAATGATCTAAAATTAATGGGCAAAAAACAATCAAATTCCAAATCTTTTCACACCTGCTGTCATGAGAGGCTGCTGCAAAAGGGCAAAGACAGGAGCTGAACAGAAGTTTTCTAGCAGCCACCCTAGGTATAGAGCTCTTTGCCTTCAGCTGCAGCCCTACAAAGAACATATGAATCCAGCCAGCGGGGAATGTGGCTGCAAACACAAAAAACCTTACCCCCTGCCATGCTCCTGCATGTTTTAGACCAGAGATAGACAATATGCAGCCCTGTTGTTAGACTTCAGCCCCCAGCATTCCCCATCTGTGGCTCTAATGAGGACTGATGGGATTTGCAGTCAAAAAAGCATCTAGGGGGTAACACTTTGCCCGGCAGCTTTAGATCTTCATGGACTCGAGGTCAGCGAATAGTTCTGTAGTAGCACTCAAATGAACACACAGCGTTCCCATGAACACAAACCAGGCCTTGGCAAACTCCAGAAGTCCAGGGGCTACACACCCACCCCTGGACCACAGAAGGCTGTGCCAAATCCCACAACCTTCACATCTATTTTTAAAGGGTGTTTTTAATTTTAAAACATCCCTCACACTCTTCAGTGGCCAAAACTATTTTATCACTTCTTTATAGAACTGAGGATGTGAGCAGCACAAGCAAGCTAGGAGGCCCTCAACACGGGGGGGGGGGTTGTTTCCTACTCCCACCCCCAAAAGGGTAAAGGAAAACCCTGAGCCAGTTTTTGTCCTAAAAAAGATCTTTTTAGAGTGTTTTGGTGGTCACAAGGTGCTGAGGAACTGTCATAAACCCTGATAAGGCAGACCTTGTGAACTCTTAGATGGCCTTGCTTACAGCGAGACCTTTGAACCCAACACACAAGCAGTGGTAATGACGTACATGGCCATGTTATCATGTTCATCTGATACAAATGCCTGCAAAGGGCTTATGCCACACCAAAATCAGTATATGGCATACTAAATAAAGAAAACTGAGATGCCATGTAACTAGGCTATTCTGCACAAAAGACGAAAACTTTACATCCTTAAAACAATATACTCTTATAAGTAAAGTAAAGAGGAGCTTACAGGCTTCTGAAAAACACATTTGCTAAACACAAAAAAAGAGAAAGTAAGAGATCCCCTAAAAGTTGCTTTTACTGGTGCACGCATGACAAAACTAGTGAGAGGAAGTTGCCTTAATTCAATGAATTATACCGTGTTTCCCTGAAAATAAGACAGGGTCTTATATTATTTTTTGCTCCAAAAATGCATTAGGGCTTATTTTCAGAGGATTTTTTTTTCATGTACAACAATCAACATTTATTAAAATACAGTCGTGTCATCTTCTTCTGGTTGCTGCACAATGGTGGAGGGTGGGGTTTCACTTAATTGGGGCTTATTTTGGGGGTGGTGTTAGGGTTTATATTAGGAGCATCCTGAAAAATCATACTAGGGCTTATTTTCAGGTTAGGTCTTATTTTCAGGGAACCTGGGTATATCTGGCTGCAGAGCTGGAGGCTGGGAGTTCCAATTCCCTACTGTGCATTCCAGCAGAGCTTATCTGTGTGGCCTTGGGCATGCTGCACAGCCCCCAGAAGAAGGGAATGGCAAGCTATTTCTGAGTACTTTTTACCTACAGACCCTGAAAAAAGGTTGTCATGATTACATGCTGCCACTTGACAGCATGTAACTACTGTATTAGCTGCCTTACTTAGTCTGCCTCCCCAACAACAAAAACAAAAATGAATTTTTTAAAAAGAGCAAAAGTATTGTGGCCCCATTAAGACAATGAAGTTAATTTCACATTGAGCTTTCATGGATTACAATTCACTTCTTCAGACACTTTTCTTTCAGCCATGGAGAGAAATATGAATAATATTTGTGTGGTGATCATGTGATCAAAATGAATTTTTTTTAATGTATTTGCTTAAAATATTTATGTGCGGCCTTTCTCCTAAAGGATGCAAGGCAGCTTGCAGTATTAAAAGAACCAACATTACAAGAAAAAAATTAGAATATTAATAAAAAAATTAAACATATGCCATATTTAAACTTCAAATAAAAAAGCCAGAGCAATATTAAAAGCACCCATTAAACAAACCCAATCCCCTTGGTCAGCTGTCATTGAAAAGAAAGCCGGTCTAAAGAGAAAGATCTGCTTGCAAAAGGACAGCAAAGATAAGGCCAGCCTGGTTCCTCATGAGATGGAGTTCCAGAGTCTTGGAGCAACTACAGAAAAAGCCATCACCCAGCTCCCCAACCCCAAGTGGCTGTGAGAGGAATGGGACTAAGAAAAAGGCTGCCTCTGCTAGTCTTAATAACTGGGCAGGCTTATGAAGGGAGCTGAGGTCTTGAGATAGCTTGGACCCAAGCTGCTTAGGGCTTTATAGGTTAAAACCAGCACTTGGGATTGTGCCTGGAAATGGATCAGCAGCCAAGGCCGCTTCTGTAACAGGGGGGTTATGTGAGCCTTGTAACCAGCCCCAGTTAGGAAACTGGTTGATGCGTTTTGGACTGGTGGAGTTTCGAAACACTTTCCAAAGGCAGCCCCACATAGAGCGCATTACAGTAATCCAGCTGAGATCTAATTAAGGCATGCATTACCATGGCCAGATCAGATCTCTCAAAGAACAGGCACAGTTGATGCACTAGGGTTTTGTTGTTGTTGTTGCTTTTTTTAGTAAAATCAATCCGTGCTTATTAAACATTGTGGTACATGGTTTCAGCTGTTTCTATTAGGTATAATACCAGAAAATTTTGATAAACAAAATGTATAGTGGTGCCTCGCAAGATGGCTTCTTCTATGGCCGTGCTTCACAAGATGAATGTTTTTCACAAGACCGATGCCTCGCCAGATGAATGAATTATTTTCGTCTTGTGAGTTTCCTATGGGAAACTGCTTTTCGCAAGACGAAAATTTTGCAAGACAGCGCTACTCGCGGAACGAATTACTTTCGTCTTGCGAGACACCATTGTATATTTAATACTGCATATTTTTGACAGCAGCTAGGATTGTACTGGCACAACATTGGAAAAATGAAGGAATACCTACAGATGAAGAAATAATTAAGAAGATTTTGGACTGCACGGAAATGGACAGACTTACATTGAAAATTAAAGAGAAGCAAGATTCAGAATATTTTCAAACGTGGAATCTGTTCTATCAATGGTTAGAAACGCAGTGCAGAGATTAGGTCCTAATCTCTACCAACAAATGAATATGGTGCACTAGTTTTAACTGTGCAAGGGCACTCCTGGGCACTGACAAAACCTGGGCATCCAGACTCAGGAACAAATCTAGGAGCACACCCAAGTTTTCCACCTGTGTTTTCAGAGGGGGTGTAACGCCATCCAGCACAGGCTACATCCCTATTCCTTCATCTGTTTTTCAGCTCACTAGAAGCACCTCTGTCTTGTCTGGATTAAGTTTCAATTTATTCACCCTCATCCAGTCCATTACTGACAATAGACATAGATCTAGAACTAAAACAGCTTTCTCAGATTTAGATGGAAAAGATATAGTTTGGTGACACCAAACACCAAAACTCTGCAGAACCTCTCTCTCTATGGGTTCATGTAGATGTTAATTAGCATAGGAGACAAAACAGAACCCTGAGAAGAACGACAGGCCAACAGTCAGGGTGTCGGACAGGAATCCCCCAGAACTACCCTCTGAGTTCTCCCTTCCGGAAAGGTCTGGAGCCATCATAAAACAGTGACTTCAAGTTATATTCCAGAAAGACAACCCAGAAGGATACTGTAACTGATGGTATTGAAAACCACCTCAGAGGTCCAGCAAAACAAACATACACTCCCTTTGCCCAGTTCCCAGCATAGGTCATCCGCCAAGGCAACCAAAGTACTATATTCTCCATAACCAGGCCTGAAGCCAGACTGAAATGGATCTAGGTAATCCATCTCACCCAGAATTGGCTTGAAGGAATTCTTTCTATCAATTTTATGCTCTCCATTCAGGGCATGTCAGCAAACCCTGAAGATCATGTTTAAGAAACTAATAGTAACTGGCTGTCACCAAGACACAAACTCTGTAGATCCATCTCATTTTTAACATGTTTAAGAAAAAGTTTTGCCAATTCAGTATTTCCTGACATTTTCAAGGCAAGAAAAAAATTCTCAAGAACACCGTAGGTCAGTATTTCCCTTTCTCTGCTAATGAACAGTACACATACAAAGGACTCACTTGTCTTTTTTTTCTTGTTTGTGTGCTTCTTTCGTAAGTTGAGCAGCTTTTCTGCTATAAGGATGGATGACTTTCTTCTCCTGCCCTCCTCCTTTGTTCTTTGCTGCTTTAGGCTGAAACAATGAGGCAGAGGAAAGACCACAGTAAGACATTTTAAAATGCTTCCTTTCAAAGCGTTCTTGTAAGGTGTGAAGTTTAGTCACCATATTTCATCTCTTGAAGTGCTCATTTGCTTACATGTAAAAGCAAGTTAAGATTTCCTGTAGAAAAGATACAAACAACAATCAAAAACTTCAATGGGCTTAAATAACAACAACAAAAAATAGAACAGCACAGCTAGAAAGGATCGAGTCCAGCTACCGTCAAGTAGGCACAGTGGTGAATTGAACTTCCAACCTCTGCAGCCAGATATCTAAACCAATGAGCTACTCAGGAGTTCATTTTAAGGACACTGTTGTTAGTTAGTTATGAGCTGCCAAGTCAAAACCAACCTATAGCAACACTAACAGAGCTTTCAAGGTAAATTAGATATTTAAGTAGTGGTTTTACCAGCTCCACTCCCCAAGTCAGTTTCCATGGCCCAGTGGGGATTTGGACCTTCTTCTCCAGGGTCCTAGTCTGTCACTCTGTCCACTACACCACACTGGGTACCGACAGTGTTGTTAAGGCTGCAGAATTAGTGTAAAGGTGTTTAAAAATTCTATAATTTCAAATTGAAATGTTCAGGATAACAATGACACAATAAAAAAGAGCAAAAAGGACAGCTCAGGGCAGTAAGAGCAGAGACAGAAAATTTACTCAATGTTATTATTTAGGTAGCTAAGATTACTTCCAATTCCACATGAGCAACTGATCAAGTCATTGTCCTCTAGCTCCAAAGACACATCAGGTAACATCAACTTCCTCGACCCTAATTGTTCTGGCTGTCATACTGAAAGAGCAATGAGATGCACTTCTGGCTTTAGTCAATAATCTCTACATAGATACTGACAGGTGGACAGCATTCTAATCACCCGTCTCAAGAAAAACATCAGAAGGCTGGAAGAGGCTCAATCAAGGGCAGCCAAGGGCTCAGAACACAAGATAAAGAAAAGCTACACTGTTGAAGTTTCTTAGTTAAAGGATAAGGAGAAACACAACATTCATTGATAGATCTATACATCATATGGGGAAGGACTGGACAAAGGTTTTTCTTCTTATCCCATAAGGCTAACTCAATATATTAATCAGAGAAGATGACTTAATATAGATTCAGAGCAGATACAAAGTGCTGATAGCAATTCCTTCTTTCCCTGTGACATTTCTTGGAACTATTTCTAACTCTACAACACAAATATTACTACAGCTTGTTTCCGTCTGTACACTGATGAAACCCAGGGGACACACCACCACCTGCTGTCTTGATTTCCAACCACAATTAGGTGCTGCATAGAGATAAGAAAAACTGAAACAATACAGGTAATGAAATGAAGACACCAGCTCAAGAGACGCAGCATCTTAGTATGGTTCTCCAGATTCATCAGTCATAATTTGCCACTGTTATGCAGATCTGTGGCTTTCCTTGCTCTTCCTGGGAGTGCTGGCACCAGAAATCTTCATCAGGGGTGCATCAGAGCCACAGTATATTATTTATTTCACAAGCCCACTCAACAAGCTAGACAACTGCAACCTCATGTGACTTTATATTTTCATCTTCACCCGCTTCCTTTTAAAAGGCAGGATAGGTTTCCATGCTTTCATGCTTATGCACCTTATTTAAAATAAGAACAGTAATAAAAAGTAAATGAAAGTAAGAACAAAAGCTGCTGGCTCCTTCCTCATCAATGTCTCTTCATTTTACCATGCAGGTTTTAATTTTGTTTTGTGCTCTCTTTTTAAAATTCTCAGTCCCATTTCACCACATTCAATAACAAAAGTAACACTGCAAAACCCAATCCATAGCACTGGAAGAGACACTAGACTAGAATGCAAAAGAGACATTCACCTACAAAGCTGGACACCTAATATCTAGAAGAGGGGTGCAGATTCGTTGTTGGGCTTCCAGGTAGCATAGGGGAGTTCTGGGAGCTGTAGTCCAAAAATAGGAAGCTATTCTGCACCCCTCTAGTAACTGTTTTTCTTTTCTTGCCCTGTTTTTCTTTTTCACTATTATGAATTTTAGATTCATATCGGTGCACTGTCATATTGATTGTGCTGTTACTCAGCATCATATGGGGTTCTGAATTTTAATTTGTAAACTGCCTAGTGTAGTGTTCCACTAAAGAGATAGTATATAAATCTGCTAAGCAAGTAAAACAATTACTACACACACCTACACCTACACCTACACACACGTATGTATGTATGTATGTATGCATATGCATATGCATATGCATATGCATATGCATATGCATATGCATATGCATATGCATATGCATATGCATATGCATATGCATATGCATATGCATATGCATATGCATATGCATATGCATATGCATATGCATATGCATATGCATATGCATATGCATATGCATATGCATATGCATATGCATATGCATATGCATATGCATATATACAGTATGCTACAAGCTGCTGGCCTGCAGTATAAAAGTCAGAGTCTCCACTGTTCAACTCATCACTACAACAACCACTACAACATCCACAACACCGCATGTGGTAGCAGCTGCCAGAAACTGAATCATGTGGTCTTTCTCCTCCACCATTTAATGAAGTCACACACCTTTCTGCTAATCTCCCATTACGGGATTAAGTTACGGTGGAAATACAACACATTCATCCTTCATTCTTGGAAAAAGGAACTAATTACCATTTAACTTGCTACCTTCAAGCTCTAAGCTTGCTGCAAGAATTCCTTTCAGACATATAGGGTGATTCCACCATAATATAATATAAAGTACATTTCATTATCTTTAACCTGTCCACAGTTTCCCAAGCACAATTCACAGGACAGTGTTGACTAAATAGCTCTATATACAGTACTTCCCCCAAGAACCAAGATCAAACAGAAACACCTCTATAAATATTCATAGACTCTTTTTTTAAAAGGCACACCCTCCATATGCTAACAGAGTCCGGCTGCTATCACTTCCAAACAACCAATAGTCATGGATGATGGAAACTGTAGTCCAATCTCTGTATCCACCCCACCCCTCCCTAGCACTTCCAAGGCAGCTTACGTAGTAATAGAAAAGATAGGGTAGAATTTACATTTCCTGAGAGTAGCATAAAAATGTCAAAATACAGGTGAATGAAAAAGTTAAAAAGCAACATGATACAGTACATGAAGTTCAAAACTACAACTCAGGTACAATTAGATTGTATCACTGACAATCCCGAGTCTCCATAAGATCCCTTTCAAGTCATACAAGTGTGTGAATGTACAAGACAGAGAACGAGAGAGAATATCTTCGCATGTATATAGAAACCTATGCAACTCAAACATTGCTACCAGGAGAACCGCTCAAACACCTCCTGTCCAAAGGAGATCTTGAAATAAATGAAATGGAAATAGGCTGGCCTCATGGGTTCATCACAGCAGACTGCACATATACAAAATAAGAACAAGCAAATTTTGCTCTAATTAGCTACTGCTGTAGATAAGGCTGCTCCTAAGGCTATGGAGGATGAGCCCACCAATGAGAACACATGCAGCCACAGAACTTCATTTCTCCAGTATGTCCCTGGGAAACAGGTCCAAGACTTTGACTACATCTGAATGAACTTTTTACTCAACACTTCCAGACCTTAGACTTTGATCTTTTATGAGTAGGAACACTGGACTGCACATATTTATATTGGAAAACTTTATCATATTATTTACTTGCTTAGTATCAGACAGAACATCGTTAAGATATATTTCTTGATGGTTTGATATAAGTTGTTGATACACTTTTGCTGATATTTTTTGCATATTATACACTAATGTTTTAAGTTTCATTTAGCTGCAATATGGAGTTTCCGATGTTTGTTTATCTACAAGGACAGGATGTCAGGTCTATCAGACTTTTGGTGTAAGAAGCTATCCTGCCAAGACTGGCAATTCTTAGCCACATTTTGCTCTGTTTGCCCTGCACACTCTTCTGCGTTGGTGTAAAAGCTGGATTCTTCCCCTTTAAGAAATCCTATAGCCAGCCTTGGACTCAGTGTCCTTTGTTCTCATGCACCTGTAGTATTTATGTTCCTGATGGTCCTGCATTCAACAATCTTGAACTCTTAACATTACCAACATCCTGGCTGCTCCCAGCCACTTCTTTACTGAGTTAAAATGATTGCTAACATAGAGGCTCATTCTTGTTATGTCAAATAATTTTGAAGGAGTTTGCCAAGTTATGAAATGCACTTGTGATTTTTGTGAGGATGACTCTGGATCTAGCAGGTTCCTAAGTGGAAGGCATTAATAAGTATACCTAAAGTTTCCTCAACTGTCTTACCTTACATTCTGACCACTATAATCCAGAGTTAGAGTAAACTCTGGACTCCTTTCCAATTGAAATAAGCCACTTAGAACCCCCTTCCTTTACCCATTCTTAGAATTGCTTTGTCTCCCTCCTCCTCTCAGAAGACTCAAAGCCCAAACCAGTTTCACCCCAAGTCCTATAGCTTAGTGGAATTGACATCCAATCACTGAATCCTCACAATCCCAGTTCTTATACAAAGTGCACTCTTTTGAGTTCATTCATCTGCCACTCCACAATAGAAACTCCTATTCCATAGTGCAGGTGTTGTGCATTCTATAATTCCTGTACGATGACCAAATAAAACCACACACCCTAAGAAACAGCTGAGTTACTGGACTCAAGCTGCCAAGCTGCTACAAGAAACATCATATAGGTATATTCTCAGAATGTGTGTAAGAACAAGGAGATATGCAGAGCACTGAAACTCCACTTTCTGGACCACTGAAATGGTAAGCTACCTAGGGAGAATCCTCTTTCTATGCTCCCAAAAGACTCAACAGTGCTCTTCATGGTCTCCATTTATACAACAGAGACTGATTGGACCTACCCGAGCATTACATTGTGCTTTGCCAGCTTTAATCAGGGTTGTAGCCTCCAAATTTTAGTTTTATACGGTATATCTTTGCAAAAACCAAAATCTGGTTAAGGAACACATAACATCATAGCAATAAAGAAAGGTGCATGACACTGAGACTCTGGTCCATCAACCTAATACTGATGACTCTAAGTGGCAGCAGCTTTCCATCATTCCAGGATAAACTCTCTTTTTTAAGCCTTATCTAGTGCAACCTGGTGGTATCCCACTCAAAATAGGCCTAACACTGCTTAGCAGCTGAAATCAGACAAGAATGGGTATGTCTGAAATGGTATGGTAGTAAACTTCTTTCACAACTGTGTAAAGATATTTTGTCTTTCCATTTGAATCATGACATTACATTGATATCCATATTTAAATATATTTGGGTTAATTTTCAGAGCAAGTCCCTCACAAACATTCAAACATTTCATATGCCTATGTAGTTCTAATATTTAGAGCAGTCCTATGAGCCAGTATTGGGGAAGATGACTGTGCAGAGCATTTTTTAAAAAATGTTTTGCCTGTTACATAAAGAACACAGGAATACTGTACAGACTTCCACTTTACATGCAGTCATTGCGCCATGATAATACAGAACTTTAGCAAGGGTCTTCGTGTTGTTTGAACATAGAAAACTACCATTTATTTTAAGCCACAGAACTCATTCTTGGGGTTGCCATAAGTGGAGGCAATTTGACAACAAGTTACAACAATAAATAACCAACAGCACACGCAACTTGGGGCGAAATTCTTCCAAAAACAGGATCTAGGCTCAAGTTTCTCTAAGAAAAGAGAGCAATCAACAGTAGTGCCAGAAAGGGTGCTCACATGTACCCTTACTACAAACAAGAATTTACTGCAAGATAATTAGCCAAATTGTTAAATCACAGCTGACGCCATCTTACTGGCAGAAAGCAGCAATGACTTGAATTGACTTCAAGTAAAAGTGAAAGAAGAAAGTGTCAAAGTAAGACTGCACTTGAGGATTAAAAAGGCAAAAATCATTACTACAAAAGAACTATACAACTTTAAAGTTGACAATTAAGAAATTGAAATAACTAAAGATCTTGTACATCTTGGTTCAATCTTCAATTCAAATGGAGAGTGCAGCCAAGAAATTAGAAGACTACCAGGAAGAGCAACAATAATAGAATTAGACAAGCTCATCAAGTGTAAGGATGTGTCACAGGAGACCAAGACCATCCACACTCTTGTATTCCCAATCACCACCTATGGATGTGAAAGCTAGACAGCAAAGAAAGCTGGCAAGAATAAAACTGATTCGTTTTAAATACGGTGCTAGAGGAGAACTTTGCAGATACCCTGAACAAGCAAGTCCTAGATCAAATCAAGTCTGAACTATCTCTGGAGGCAAAAATGTTGAAACAGAAGCTGTCCTACTTTGCGTACATCGTGCGAAGGCATGATTCTCTGTAAAACAATACTGTTGGGAAAGGCTGAAGGCAACAGGAAAAGAGGAAGACCAAATACGAGATGGGACTGACTCCGTAAAGGAAGCCACAGGCTTGAGTCTACAAGAACTGAGCAGGGCTGTTGAGGACAGGACATCTGGGGGACTGATCATGCATAGAGTGGCTATTAATCGGAGGCGACTTAAGGGTACACAACAACAATGCAAACCACATACAAGCATTGTGATTTAGATTTACTGTTCCCAACAACAGGCAGTTTTAGCGTTGCTTTGACTCCCACCACCGTCTCGCACTTACCATCTTTACGAAGAAGAAAATCAGATCCGACTTCGTAACCCACAATTTGGCAGCACGTGTCCTCCTGTACATGCGCATAAAAGGAACCACGTACGTCCCCGTAACCCTCTCGGGTGAGCACCGCCACTCACGAGTCATCAGTTCCGTTTCCAACAGCCAATAAAAGCAATACGTACAGAAGGAATGCGAGCTCGTTAATTCTTCCCTCCCGGCTAGGAGAGCGAGCGAAGGGTGTCGGTGCCAGAAAGGGATCGGGTGGGGTGAAGAGAAGTTATCGGTATGATGCTTCAAGTGGCTAGAAGAGCGTGGAAAGCTGTTACTTATCTTGTGAGAGTAGGAAGCAGGCTTCTTTAGCTAAAGAAAACACCGTTTGGAAAGAGGGTCAAATGAATGGACTGTTTAAAATGCGCACACGCACACACACGTGCGGAGGGATGTGACCCCGTATTACTGAGACGTGGTTCTTCTCTCCACGTTCCTAAGAATGCAGGTCAGCATCGAGTCAAATATTGAGAGGACCCCAAATAATTATTTCTATAGCTTATTTTTTTTTAACGTAGCATTTGTATTTATAATTCCACACCCACCTCTCTTATAGGCTAACCATCAGAATAGAAAGGAGTAATTAAAAAAACCTCTTGAAAGTGGGCAAAGAGATCTGACAAAGATGAAAAGAAGAAGCTGTATGGTTTGGTGGTTCTTAATAAACTTCTGGCTTAATTTGTTGCAGGTTTTCAATTTTGTTTTTGTTGTTTTTGCCCTTTCTTGTACAATCTTACCTCTTGGTGGCACCTTTAATCTACAAATCGGTCTGGAAGACTGCGAGATGTTTGCCTTCACACTACCGGGTGAACTGAACTAATTCAGAAAAATCTTTATTATGCAGTTGTGAAACAGACAGCCCAGTCCTATTTGTGTTTATTAGAAGCTACCCAAGCTCATTTATGGGGATCTTCGTCTACAGAGGACCGTTCCTAGAACTTCATTCATTGCAGAAATATTACTGCCTTGATGTCTATTGTGGGTTGAAGGATAAACAAATTAAATAAATAAAACCATCACACTCCTTACAGAGATTCAACAGCTGTTTCCAGTCTTCAGAGAATGCTTTGCTAGCAAACTGAAATAAGAGTTGAGGTGGGAAATATGGTTGCTGGATGTAAAGATGCGAGCTGAATTCTTGTCCTTTTCTAGGTCTCTGGAAAGAGAAACAAATCTCAGGTCAGGCAGATATGAGGGAGGTGAAAGTATTAGCTTTTGTATGTGAGACATGGAATTTAAAGTCTGGACACCCATTTCCATTCATTCCCACTTGGTGCCAAGTTAAGCATGAAGATATTTTTGTATGTGTGTTGCACCAAAGGGCACAACAGAGAACCCACTGGTTCTCTGATCAAATCCTCCCCTCACATTTGGCTTTTTGGTGTGTGTTACATTTGTGTCATGTGTGGTTTGAAGACAATGGACTAGTACTGTCACAACTAACATTGTCAATGTGACAACTATTGTATTAGTTCATTTGTTTGAATCAGTATTGTCATGAAACCTTTATCAGCAGAGGTTTTGTGCCTCCTGAACCTCAGTGGACTCAGTGGGACTTCCTTCTGAGTAAGTATTGGGCCCCAAGTCTACAAAAGCAGCAGTCTTGCTTTTCCAGTGAATATGTATTTTTACATAGTGATCTATGCATGACTGCCAGCAAAACAGAGGATCCCAGTCGAAAGTCTTGCTGATTTCAATAAGATCTGTTTTCTGATTTTTTATGACATCCTTAAGTGACTGGCTGAGGCAGCCACCTTACTTTCCCTAATCATAGGCAAGTCTCATGACAGGCCAGGGAGGGAAAAGGGAAATTGCAACTGCTTTATTTCCTGTTATAAATTGAGATAGGCAGTGCAATCCAAACTCAGAGATACACTAGTTATAATGGGTCTGGAATAGAGAGAAGCCTTTTCTGCCAATCCCACTGTCCTACTGCCAGCACAAGGTGCTTGGTGCCACCAACAGCTGTGCTTGCCCGAGATCAGCCAGCATGCTAGTAGACCCAGAAAAAGGTCAGAGAAGGGGAGCAGTGGGGGATAAATTGTGTTATGCCAGATCCAAATCTTTCTCAGCCAAGACCCACAACTACTATTTTGACACAAAAACAAGCCAAGGAGGGTGCACCCCAAGTAATTTCCAACATCCCTTGGCTGAGAAGGGTTTGGATTCAGTATAGCCTTGGGGTACGACTACACTAGAAAGCTGAATGGAAATTTGATAATAGGACATTTTGAATCGGACTATTACAAAGCATTTTATGCTGGAAATGACAAACTCAAAAAAATGGTGTGGCTCCAATAATGAGGCAATATGTAGCACAGGCAGTTTGTGGCTACAATGCAGAGAATAATAACAGTCAGACGTCTTGGAAAACCTGTTAACATAACCATCATCCAAGTCTATGTTCCAGCTACAGATGCTGAAGAAGAAGAAATTGAAAGCTTTTACACAAGTGTCCAGGAGGAAATTGATCATACATCAAAATGAGATACTGTATGCTAATAAGCATAGGTGAATGGAACACAAAAATAGGAAACAAAGCAGATCCAGATGTTGGAGTCAGAAATGACGCAAGAGAACCCCTCATAGAATTCTGTGAAACCAACAATCCATTTGTTGCAAATACATGCTTCAGACAACTGATGAGATGACTCTACATGTGGATGTCACCAGATGGTCAATCACCATCATCATCATGCGCTATCAAGTCAATTCTGACTTATACAGTAGCTAACCTTTTCAGGGTGGTCCAAGTAGAGAATAGAAGTGGTTTACCATTCCATTCTTCTGGTAGTGCCTTGGAGTGCAGCAGTGGAGAATCAAACCCCCTCAGATGGTCAATATAGAAATCAAATGGACTACATGATAGGAAGTAGGAGATACAGAAGCTGGATCATCTCTCTTAAAGCAGGAAAATATTGTGACTGTTACCCAGTCTGGGCTACCTTTTTATGGACACACTATTCCCTTGTTTATCCTGGGATGAGTGAGCCCCAGGAGGAGTCAGATATGGTAGGTTTAGGCCATGGAACCTGAGTGGAATTGCATCAATCCCAAACAATGCCACCAACTGAAATCTGACACTATCTGCAGAAAATACAAAAAATTCGCAAGGCTAGGCATTTAGCAGCGACATGCCCATCTTGCAAAGTAGCTAACACCACACCCACAAAAAAAAAAAAAAAATATTCCAGTACCTGGTCAAGGCAAGAGCTGGTTTTAATACCATAAACTCTCTGAGCCAACAACCCAGACAATTGGTTCGACATGCCCATCTTGCAAAGTAGCTAACACCACACCCACAAAAAAAAATACTAAATATTCCAGTACCTGGTCAAGGCAAGAGCTGGTTTTAATACCATAAACTCTCTGAGCCAACAACCCAGACAATTGGTTGAAGAGATGTTTATATTTTAATAAAAGAAGGAAAAAAGTCAATATTTCCAAAAAGTTCCAACATATTTAAAAAAAATAATTGGAGCAAAATACAGAGATTGTCTAAGGCAGCTCCAGAATTCACAGCAGAAAACAGTAAAGGCCAAACTTTTCTACCTGTACTCACACCTTAATGCAGGGTTAGTATAGTTCTTGGGTATCTACAGAGTCTCAGTCTTTCAATTCTATGAAGTCGATCAATTCTATGAAGAAAGCAACACATCTATCCCCCGCTTTCAGGGATCCTACCTAACTCGTCGGAGGACCTTGTGATCCTGTGAAGATGTGCTAGGTTTAGCCTCACAGAGGGAAACCCAGACCTACTCCATCTCTCTGCTTAGGTCAAGGAACTCTACCCAGCCTAAAAGAGATCAACTAAAGTCACCCATCAACCACAGTGACTGATAATCTCTCCCACTTATCACAATACATCCACAACAAAAACACACTGATCACCCTATCTCCTGAAAAGGACAAAAGCTGTTCCCACAGCTATAAATACTCAACTATCCAACAAACAGCAACAGAGCATGGACAGAGTTCCTACTCCAGTCCTCTGAAGATGCTGGCCACAGAGACTGGTTGAAACATCAGGAAGAACAACCTTCAGAACACAGCCAAAGAGCCCGGAAAACCCACAACAACCATCAGATCCTGGCCGTGAAAGCCTTCAAGAATACATTGGCATTTCTTTGCAGTACAGCAACAATGAAGAAAAAAGGATGGGAAAAACTATGATATTGGGATAAAACAGTAGTACAGGAAAGCAGGAAGGAGGTAGTTCCTAACGCTTTTCTAGCCTATGCAATCAAAGCCCACAGGAAATAGCATATTAATCAATCCCTTTTTTGCCCTCCACACAATCCTGACAGTGTAGTGCAAAAGTATACACTGGTTTTAAAATGAAAAAGAGGAAGAGAGATGCTCCAGAAGGCAACTACTAGCTAACCTAAAAGGGACACAGAGCCCTGCCTAAATGCAAAATGGCTGCATTAATATAGCCAAAGTGAACTTGTATGATCTCTTGGAGTATCCTAGCAATTAAATCCCTCTGCATATTATCTTTCATGATTTAACTGTAAGTCAGAGATAAGCATACATTTAAGGAAAACTGAAGATTCCTTCAAGGACATAAGCATATTAAATCTCATTGCTCAAAGTCATACAATTAAGGTGAAGAGATAAGCTTTGTTGTTGTTGATACATGCCATCAAGTTGACAATTTATAGCGAAGCCTATGAATGAGTGACCTACAAAACATACTGTTCTCAACAGAATTGCTCAGTTCTTAAAAACTCAAAGCTGTGACCTCCTTTGTAGAATCAATCTATCTCATATTTCACCTCTCCCTTTTAAGTCTGTCTTTTCCTAGTATTATTATCTTTTCAGATAATCTGCTCTTCTTGTGATGTGTCCAAAGTATGATAGCCTCAATTTTGTCTTTTGTTTTGTTTTTGCCCCCAGAGAAAATACAGGGTTGATTTCACTTAGGATCCACTTGTTTGTCTTCTGGGAATCCAGGGTACCTGCAAAGCTCTTTGGAAGGAACAGATTCTTTTTTTTTCTTGTAGGCATTCATCTGTACATAATAATTTTAATGACCATGGCCTTGGTCTACAGTGACACATCCTTACACTTAATGA